TAAAGTGGTTAAAATACTACCATATTACAGTATTAGAGTATTCTGAATTTTACTATATACTTACCTTTATCAGTGTCTTATGTATTTTCATATGTTTTCATGTTGCTAATTGGTGGCCTTTCATTTCAGTTTGAACTCCTTTCAGCTCTTGTAAGATAAGTCTAATGGTGATAAACTCCCTCAGCTTTTGTTTGTCTGGGAAAATCTTTACCTCTCCTTTATTTCTGAAAGACAACTTTGTCAGACAAAGTATTCTTGTTTGTCAGTTTTTTCCTTTCAGCACTTTGAATATGTCATCTCCCTTTCTCCTGGCCTGTGAGGTTTCTACTAAGAAATTCACTGATAGTCTTATGGGGTTCCTTTTTAACTTACAAGCTTCTTTTTCCTTGCTGCTTTTAAGATTCTCTGTTTGTCTTTGATTTTTGACAATTTTATTATAATGTGTCCTGGACATCTCTTTGAGTTGAGTTTGTTTGGTGACCTATGAGCTTCATGAACTTGGATAGCCAAATCTCTCCCCAGATTTGGGAAGTTCTCAGCCATTATTTCTTTTTTTTTTTAAGATTTTATTTTTTCCTTTTTCTCCCCAAAGCCCCCGGTACATAGTTGTGTATTCTTCGTTGTGGGTCCTTCTAGTTGTGGCATGTGGGATGCTGCCTCAGCGTGGTCTGATGAGCAGTGCCATGTCCGCGCCCAGGATTCGAACTGACGAAACACTGGGCCGCCTGCAGCAGAGCGCGCGAACTTAACCACTCGGCCACGGGGCCAGCCCCTCAGCCATTATTTCTTTACATAAGCTTTCTGCCCTCTTTTCCCTCCTTCTGGAATTCCAATAATTTGCATATTGTTTCTTTTGATGTTATCCCATAGGTCGCATAGGCTTTCATAGATCACATAGGCTTTCTTCACTCTTTTTAATTCTTTTTACTTTGTTCTCCTATGACTGGATAATTCCAAAGGTCTTGTCTTATGATTCACAGATTCTTTCTTCTGCTTGATCTATTCTGATGTTGATGCTCTCTGTTGCATTTTTTATTTCATTCATTGTATTCTTCAGCTCCAGAGTTTTGGTTTGGTTCCTTTTTACAATTTCTCTCTCTTTGTTAAACTTCTAATTTTGTTTGTGTATTCTTTTCCCGATTTCATTCAGTTGTCTATGTTTTCTTGCAGCTCATGGAGCTTCCTTAAAACAGCTATTTTGACTTCTTTAGCAGGTAAGTCATAGATCTCCATGTCTTTAGCATCAGTTACTAGAAGAGTATTGTGATTTTTTAGTGGTGTCACGTTTCCTTGATTTTTCATGTTCCTGGACGTCTTGTGCTGCTGTCTTCATATTTGAAGTATAAGTCACCTACTCCAGTCTTTACTGACTGACTTTGGGAGAGAAATCCCTTCTGTCAGCCCTGGTAGGGATTCTAAGGCTTTCTCAGACTTTCTATGGCTACACCTGCTCCACACTTCTTGCTCCCTCTTGTGGCAAAATTCTTAAGCTTGCATGTTTCTCTCCATCCTGCAATGCACCAGGCCAGATGCTGACAGACACCCTTTTGCTTTCCCAAGGGTGGAGGTGAAGCTCAAGTTTGTGGTCTCTCCCTGGCTGGCAGATTTAGGCCAACTTTCTGCACATGCTCACCAGCTATCTGCCAAAGCTGCTCTCACCTACATCAGAAGTGCATACATGGAGCTGACCACAGGGTGGAGGTGTGTGTAGTTGAGGCACATGGAGCACTGGCAGTGCCTGTGGGCAACTGGGGGATCTGTGGGCAAACTGTCTTCAGCAGCTCATGGGAAGGCTCCTCAGTGGAGTTCATGACACAGTTAGTAGGATCCACGTTCCTTTAACACCCTCTGAGAGTCCTATCTGCCACTCTCCCAGCCTCTTCCCATCCCCAGTCAGGCAGCTCATGACTCAGTACTCTGGATGGGACAAGAGAGAAATGGGCCTCTTTGGCATTGTCCTGCACTGTTGGGAAGCTGCGTGCTCACTTACATGCTTTCATTTTACCCCATGGGAGAAATCACTGGCCAAGAAAGTGATTTCTTTGCACTGAGCCATGCCACCTTGAGGGACAGGTGATGCAGGTGAAGTCAAAATGCTCCTCTTACCCTCTCCAGTGTGTCCAAACACGTATTTTTCTGCTCCAACCATGTGCTGGAACTTCTCCTCTGGAAACCTGGACTTCCAGAAAGGCTCTCTCATACATGAGTGATTGCCTAAGACAGTGTTCTCTAGGGAGAGAGGGCCACTCCTTCCTCACAATCTTCATCATGCCTCCTGGATATGCACAACTGTCATTTGCTCACATTTATGTCAGATCTGCAAAACAGCTTCAAACTCCTTCATCCAACCAACTTGCCTATCCCATATGTCCCAAATTTTATACTACAGAAAGTGCTGGCACTGTTACTGTTGGCAATTAATTAAAAAATTTTTAAACACTGTGAAGGACAAACAAAATATACTTGCAAGCCACCAGTCTGAAGCCTGTGATTACAGCCCAGCCTACTTCTAGTTGTCCAATTTGTAGCAAGAATATTCACTTCCATCCATTGTTTGATCTAACTTCCCCCCTGGCTTCATCCTATTCATGCTACACTTATTTTCCTGATTCATTTCTTTTTGAAAGCATCTGTCTTACCATGTTATCGAATGCAGGGGTACTGAATTCTATGTTGAATTATATTGAAATCTTTTGTACATTTGCATCTCTACAGGCTCCATTTCACCCAGCTGGAATTCCTTCCCCATTCTTCATGTTCAAGCCCTCCCATTCTTCACTGTTCTACTGAAGTACCATCTCCTTTATAAAGACTTTCTTGACATCCTTTTCCCATCCATCCATCCTTCCATCCATCCAAGTCTCACCCCATCCTGAATTCTAAGAGCTCTGACTTGCCCACTTATTAAATCACGTGGTACCTTATCATGTGTACACTTCTTGCTCTCTGTCGTGGGTTGAATGGTGGCCCCCTCAAAAGATATGTCCACGTCCTAACCCCCAGATCCTGTGAATATGACATTATTTGGAAAAAGGGTCTTTGCCAATATAATTAATTTAAGGACCTTGAGATGAGATCATCCTGGATTACCTGGGTGGGTCCTAAATCCAAATGACAAGTGTCCTTATAAGACCCAGAAGAGGAGAAGATGGAGACACAAGAGGAGAAAATGAATGCTGAGTTTGGAGTGATGTAGATACAAACCAAGGAATGCTTGAGCCACCAGAAGCTGGAAGAGAAAGGAAGGATTCTCTCTGTTTGAATTTACCAAGTTTGCCGTAATTTGTTAGAGGAGCCACAGTGAACTTAGACACTTCCCATCCTTACGGCCAGCTCTGTAAAAACAGAGGCAGGGAGTCTTAGCTCTTTGTTTGGGACTTTCCTCTACCTGTAGAAAAGTAGCTGAGACAGAGACAAGAACATCAAGAATTGAGTTGAATTGGCCAGGTTTTGGAATAGCCATCCCTTGCTAGCTGGCCCTGTTCTCTAAAACGGACATGTGTCATTTCCTCCACTGACTGTGGAGGTCCCATGGATTGGGGGTTGACACAAAGGAACTCCCTACTCCCTGTGTGTGCTGTTTTCCCCCTGCTCCTTTGTGACTTGTTTCCCCATTGAAGTGTTTGCATAAAGTCTCACCCCCAAGGGTAGAGGACAGAGGCCTGAAAAGGGTGGTCATTCTGGGGCAAATCATTGGGAAGAGGCAAGTCCTACACGTGAAGTCATAATTTGGAAGGCAGGCTGCAGGCAGCTTCTCTGGAGTCGGGATTTTGATGTAGTGGCCTTCTTTTGGTTTCCCCAAATCGCCATATTCTTTCTTGCTTTAGGGCTTCCGTATGTGCTATTCTCTCTGGCCAGAATGCTCTTCCCCCAGCTAACTCCTATCATGAGTCTCAGATCTAAAAAGCAGCCTTCTCTGACCACCTAGACTAAGCCAGGGCTCCTGTCAGGTTGCCCTTAGCCCACGTCCTTATCCTTCGAAGCATGCATCACCCTTACATCTTGTTCAACGTCCTGCCTCATTTGCTGTCAGACCACAGGTTCTGCAGGCAAGAAGGTACCTGTCTGGCTCACTCTGCTTCCCATGCAGCAGAGAGCAGAACATCCCCCCAGCTTCCGGTGAGGGAAGTGGACCCTAAGGTCACGTTCTCTGGCCAGAAGTAACTCTCTAGTGGCCTCTCCACCAGCCTTCAGTTAAGTCTCATTCATAATTTAAGGGCCAATCATGGCCATATCCACAAATGGGCAGCACCATGAGGCTTGCAGTCATCCCGGAAGAGTATCCCAGAAGAGGGTGAGTCTATCTCAGGGGCCAAGAGCCGGGGCTGTCACAACTGCCTGTCCTCATAGGGAGTCTCCCTTTATTGGTAACTTTGGCCTTGACAATTTGGATTTGATTTTGTTGAGGGTGCCAACTAGTGAATTTCCTTATAACAGAAAATGTCAAATTCACATGAGATGACAAATATTCCAGGAGGACAATCAGCATAGGGCCTGGTAAAGTTGGGCTAGGTCAGGCAGAGCAATGGGGTTACGGATGCCTTTGCATCTACACCTGTGTGCACATGTGAAAGCTGAGTTATGGGAGATGTTGAATATAACGGAAACAGTGACTTGGAATCCTGCAATAATGAGCAACTCCTGAAAAAATTAGCCAATGACATCATAAAGAGAGACACAGGTTGACTGAAAAGTAGCAGGAAGAGAGAGGTACCCCTCTGACTCCTGGAAGTACCCCCTAATCCAGATGATTGGAATGAGATAGCACATGAGCCTGACCGGAGCCCAGAGAGAGAGAGAGTGGCAGAAGATTACCAATAGCATTCAGGTTACCCGAAATACGGGTCCAAGTTGGACTTTTCTGGAAAGGCTCCACATGTTGCTAGGCTTCTGGGGTACAAGCTTCCTTTACCCCATCCATTTAGGGATCAGTCCCCCACCAATGCATGCAGGGCCTGCAACGTTAACATCTGATTGGACACATATAACACCAGACTGAATTGCAAAGTAGGAGGCAATACATGTTTAGGCGATAAAGCTGGTCAGTTACAATTTATGGTGACTCTTATTTCTCCATCTCAGGATAGTTCATCCACCCTGTTTAACATGGGGGTTGGGGATACCCTCACATGCCTCCTGCTCAGCATCACAGAGACACAAAGGAGCCTACAGCTCCCCCCACCCAAGTATCTCCAGCTGGAAACCCATCCTCTCCCCAGTGCTGGCTGAGAAACCAGTCAAAGAGGTCCTTTGTCTCCCTTCCAGCAGCAAGGAAGCCCTGCGGGGTTAGAAGGGGTGGGGGAAGCCAGGAGACAGACCAAGTCAGTCCATTTGCCATCAGTCAGCAGAAGGGGAGCGAGTGGTGGTGGGACCTCTGGTCTCTGGCGCCCATCTACACCAGCTTCTTAGCTTTAAAGAAGCTCTTGAGGTGCTGCATCTGCCAGATGCCGATGGCCACAAGGATGAGGGTCTGCAGAATGGACCACCACAGCACCCGCTGGTTGGTGCTCTCGCTGGTCTGCCGGAAGCGCTCCTCTCGCCACTGTGGGAGAGGACAACGGAGAAGCTGCCTGGCTAGAACTGAATCGCTCCCTGGGGGAGGAATTGGAAGTGCCACTCCCTGGGTGGTTACACATCCCCTGTCCCACCTGAGCCAGCCCAGTCCCTCACCCTCTGGTACTCCTGCTCCTTCTGGATCTGTTCCACCTGCTCCACCAGCTGCTGCACGCGCAGATGCAGCAGGGTCAGCTTGTCGTTGGCTGCAATTTCCGTATAATCATTGGTGTGTTCACCCAACTGCATGTCCAAGTGGATGGCCTGAGGAATAGGGGAGCCAAGAGTCAGGGGTCAGGGAGCTCAGCTTTATGCACCTGCCAGCTTCCACACCCCAGTCTGGGTCTGACACTGGCAGTTCAGTTCCTCACACTTACTGACTTGGGGAGTAGCCCCGCTCTGAGTACCAAAAACACCAGATCAGGACCCTGGCTGCATGTTCCATGTTCAAAAGACAGAAGGGATGGGACAACATGTGCAGAGAAACAGGTATGAGTCCGTGGTTGAGACAGGTAGTTACTAGAAGTTCCGTGTTGGTGGGAGGTGGCAATAGAGAGCCTGGGAATACTGAGATGCTGCATAGCTCTCAGTTTCACATTATGAAGCCTGGTCTTTATTCGAGGTATGGCAGGGAGCCAAGAGAGGATTTTAAGTCAGAGTGACTCTCTCCCAGGGTCCCTCTTTTTCTTTAGGAGCTGTTCTCTGTATGCTTACTTCATGTAAAGCCTTAGCCCTCTCAATAGGCACCGCCCACTGCACCCTTCTAACCCCAGGGACCATGGACCTCCCAGCTGCCACACTCACCAGCTTGCCGTCATAGAAGAGAGCGAACCGGATGGACTCCAGGTGAAGGCAGATCTGATGCTCGCCAGGAGACTGGGAGGTGAAGGTGAAGCTGCCCTGAGGACCATACTGACGGGCCAGAAGGTTCTAGAAGAAGCAGCCTCCAGTGAGCACAGAGAATCTGGCCAGGAACATGCTTCCAGAAGAGGAACCCAGGTCCAGTCCCCACAGGCCAGACCAGAGGGGAGGGTGTGAGGGAAATGGCATCAGTTTGAGCTGGAAAGTCTCAGATCCCAGCACTGCCAATACACTGTACTCTACAAAGAGCATGGCCGTCCCTGAACTTTCCTGCCTGTAAAGAGACGGGCCCTTCTCTGAGAAATGGCGGACTAAGCATTGACGCTGGAGGCTTGGGGGGCTGCCGGGAGTCAAAGCCTGCCTCACCTTGTTCTCCGGGTCCTTCACAAACACAAATAAATTGATCCACTGCGGGGAGGGCTGGTACTTTTCCATAGCAGGGTCGTACAGCTCGGTCTTGTAGTTACCTAATAGAGAGGCAGCCAGGACACATCCCCGTTCACATCCAAGACCAGGGGCCCACTCAGTACCTCCTGGGGTCACGGGGGCCAGGGGAGGAAAGGAAGACCCGAGCATCTGAGTGCCAGGCCTGACCACAGCCCTCCACCTCTCTCCCCTCCCCTCTGCAGCTCCGGCTTTCTCCCTTCATCCCGGTCTGGATCAGACTTGCCCCCTCGGCGTTCCCAGCCCCGGCACTGGCTGGGGAGGGGATACTTTGACCAGACTGCTGCTCCCCCATTTCCCAACCGTGCCCACCCGGTACAGGGGAGGAGAGGTGCTGGCCCGAGCTGATGCCGCGGCGCCCATCCCCCATTCCCTCTCAGGACTCTGGACGCGGGGCGGGCAAGGCCGGGGCTGGCAGCGCGCGCACCTATGACCACAGTGCCATCGGGGATCTCCTGGATGAAGCACTTCTCCTCCAGCTCGCGGACCTCGAGGTAGAACGCGTCCCCGCGGCCCAGCAGCGCCAGCAGCTGCCCCAGCAGTAGCAGTAGGGCCAGTCCCGGGGCACGCCCACTGCCCCATCCCCGCCCCGGGTCGTCCCAGGGCCCAGCCCCTCGCGCCCCGTAGACCCCCGCCACCTTCCCGGGCGAGTCCGCCGGCCTCCGCGCGGGGCCTGCGGAGACTGCGAACGCTGCGCACTACGACTCCCGGGAGGCCCCGCGCGGCCCCGCCCCCGCGCGTTCTGCCGACACACGCTACGGGGGCGCCACGCGGGACCCCGCCTCACCCGCGCCGGGTCCAGAGCGCTTCTCCTGCCGGGTCTGGAGGTGTGGGTGCTGTTTGCCCCATCTTGCTGGTGGAGTAACTGAGCCTCAGAGAGGGGAAGGGGCCTGCCTTCTGCAGTTGGCAGAGCAGCGGCCCGAGATGGGTGCTGAGAGCGTGGGGATGGGGGGAAGTTTATGACCTGGACCTGAACCTCGAGGAGCTTAGAACTAATGGCGGGTGGCACGGTGAGACGGAATGAGAACTGCAGAGTAGCCCTGTGGGGTTTAGAGGCTGAGTAGTAATTTAGGAAGGGGAGGAAGAAATGGAGGGGGCAGATTTGACCCAAGCCCTGAAGGGCGGTTAAAATCTCCCTGAGCGGCAGGAGGCAGGAACAGTTTAGGCAGAGGGACCTAGGATTGCCTAGCAGCCAGCAAGCCAGTTAAGGGATCAGAGGAAGAAAGGCTACGGGAATATGGAGGGAAGAGATGAATTGAGCTGAGTCACTGAGAGGACAGGAAGTGCCAGGCCCGCTTGCACAGCGGGGTCCTTCCTCCAGTGTCCTCTCCTCTGCACTAGGGACCAAAAAGATGAGGTTGTGGGTGAGCCTGGAGGGTGCAAGAAGGTGGCAGGGTTACAACTGGAAAAGGAAAAGGGGTACACAGCTGAAAGGGATGGGAACGTGGGGCCAACGTGACAGGATGGGGACCCAGGAAGAGCAAATGTTAAGAATTCCAAAGCTCACAGTGCCCTGGTTAGAGCAGTGTAGACTCAAACATGTCAATATAAGCTGAAGCCCTACCCAGGTGGGGGATGAAGTTCTCCACCATCTAGTGCCTGGTGATAATAGATGTTCATTGGTTTATTCAGCAATACTTAATAATGGTGATGAAAATAATAATAATAATAATAATAATAATAATACTTATTCTTCTGTGCCAGGCACTGTTCTAAGCACTTCTAAGTGTATTAACTGAAGTAATCTTTTAAAAACTCTATAAGGTAGACTCTAATGTTATAATAACTTGCCCGAGGTCATCCAGTTGATAAGTGGCAGGCATTTGTTCACGCAAACTCTGGGCCAGGTCTTACCTTAAGATACATGTCGAAAACAAAAATGACTATAACCTATCTCCTGTCCTCTAAGAACCCACTGAAGAGCGAAGGAGCAATGTCAATACGTGTTATAAGATTAATGTTTCAGCTATCAGGAATTGTCCTCTCATTTTAGCAGTGTGATAATCCTAGGGGAATGTTTTTTATTCCTTCATTGGGAATGATCTTTAAACAAAAATGACAGATGCAAGTGTTAACCAAAGTCAAATGCTTTAGAAAGGTGAGTTAAGCCAAGGGCTAACAAGCATCTTTTGGATTTGGGAAGCTAGTATTTCACCAGGGGGTATTTGCGCGAGCTGAGAGCAGAGGCAGAGGCGATGACGCAGTGTTTGCGAGGCAGACTGAGGTGCTGTCCACGGTCCTGAATCGTGATTGCCTTCTACACCAGCACCGCCACTTGCAGTAAAGGACTGGTTTCGTTTTTTATAAAATTTTCAATCCCTCATGAACCAATACGTTTGTTAAATACAATTAAAAAAAATGAAACTGATCGAGACCGGCCCTGTGGCCGAGTGGTTAAGCTCGCACGTTCTGTCTTGGTGGCCCAGGGTTTCCCCAGTTCGGATCCTGGGTGCAGACCTAGCATCGCTCATCAGGCCATGCTGAGGCGGTGTCCTACATAGCATAGCCAGAAGGATCTACAACTAGAATATACAACTATGTACTCGGGGCTTTGGGGAGAAGAAGAAGAAGAAGATTGGCAACAGATGTTAGCTCAAGGCCAATCTTTGTTTTTTTTTTTTTCCAAAGATTTTATTTCTCTTTTTTTTCCCCAAAGCCCCCCAGTACATAGTTGTGTATTTTTAGTTGTAGGTCCTTCTAGTTGTGGCATGTGGGATGCCACCTCAGCATGGCTTGATGAGCAGTGCCATGTCCGCGCCCAGGTTCCAAACCAGCAAAACCCTGGGCTGCAGCAGTAGAGAAGGTGAACTTAACCACTTGGCCACGGGGCTGGCCCCAAGGGCCAATCTTAAAAAAAAAAAAAAAAAAAGAAACTGATCATGTGTTTGGATGTCACATCCATACTAAACTTCTATAAATTTCCTAAACATTTACTCTCAATTTCTGTACTTATCTCATTGCAGACCTCTAACAAACATTCATGGACCAGCAGCAACCTTCAGACCACCCTGTGGGTAGCACTGTTCCATGGCAGTGGTCCAGTGGTCAGACTGCCCACAGAAATCCCCTAAAGGGACAAAAGTGGAAAATTCTCAGGGCCTGCAGGGACATACACATAAGAAGATGATGCATCAGTGACTTCACAGCAAGATTTCAAGACCTAGAACCCAGAGGTTAGGAAGGGTGATGTGGCATCCCAAGTAGCAAAAGTATTGTGTTGATGATAAAACAAAAAAACAAAAACCAAAAAAAATCCTGTTTCTGAGTGATGACAGGGCTGGGAATATAAGAACAACGAGCCCGCCATTCTGGGAACCTCTCACTTGACAGTAATCTCATTACACACTGGCTGCCAAGACCATTGAAACCGGGTTCCATTTGTGAGATTCAAAGGGGACATTAGAGAGCTACATTTAGTTGCTCCATCTGTGGTTCCCCCAAGACCTCAGATTCTGGCAGGTCTCTAGTACATGCTGTGCCCTTTCTGGGGGATGCCCTGAGCCTGCATCCCTGTCCCCCTTCTCCACCTGCCTAATTCTTATTCATCATTTCAAGATTCAAGTACAGGGGCTGGCCCCATGGCCGAGTGGTTAAGTTTGCGCGCTCCACTTTGGTGGCCCAGGGTTTCACCAGTTCAGATCCTGGGCACGGACATGGCACTGCTCATCAAGCCATGCTGAGGCAGCATCCCACATGCCAAAACTAGAAGGACCCACAACTAAAAATATACAACTATGTACCAAGGGGCTTTGGGGAGAAAAAGGAAAAATAAAATCTTAAAAAAAAAAAGCTTCAAGTGCAGCATCACTTTCTTAGGTATTTCCACCCCTGGGCTCCTTGGGGCCTTGTAAATCCCTCTATTGCGGTGTTAACCATGTTGAATTGTAATTGTCCATTCTCAAGCAAGTCCCTTGGGGGCTGATAGCTGGAAGAGATAAAGACACGGGCTTCTGCCACTTATTTATCTCTTTGCTCCCTAAAGCCTAGCAAAGAACTGGGAACAGCATGAGTATGCAGTGGATGTTTGGTTAGAAGGAGAGAGAGAAAGGAGAAAGAGACTATGGAGGGAAAAGGGGGGATAGAGGGAGGAAGAGAAAGAAAAGTTGGAAGAAGAAAGAGAGAGAGACAGAGAAAAGAGGGAAGGGATGAAGGAGGAAGGAAAAAAGCAAGGATAAAGGAGGGAGGGGAGAAAGAAGGAAGAGTCATAATTACAGGAAAAGTCAAAATCTCCATACCCAATGCCTGGCTTTTCTTGTGAAATCCCCCCTGGCCCACCCCCATTTTTCCTGTTAGGCATCTTGAGCTGGAGATGGTGGGGGTGGGGATGCGTGAGGGATAAAATGTTATTCACATAAAAATCAGAGCTGCCACATGCAATTCTTCTGCTCTGATGTTAGGTAGATCCTGCTGGCTTGTTGGTGACCTCCGCGTTATCCCCAGGACACCACCATGACACTGTCTTTTCCTCTGGACCACTAGCCTCTACACTATTCTTCCTCCCTGGCATGTAGAAAAACACCTTCCATTCCTTGTGACCATCTCTGCAAAGGAATTTACTATGAGAGTTCTTTTCCCTGTGCTCTCTGTCCCAGAACACCTAGGCACTGGAGGGGGCATGTATGTCAAATCCAAGGACATCAAGAACAGCATCATGCTGGATGTGGAACCAACCCCTGTTGGTTCACCCACCCCTCTAGGTTCACACTGGTCCCTCTGACAGGGTCCTTCCACTACTGGTGAGTTTTCTCAGAGGTCTCACTGTCTCTCTTTCCAGTCTATCCTTCCTCAGGACTTTGGGAAGTCCACCCCACAGGTCTGTGCCTGACTGAACCCTAATTGAAAGCTTGGTTCTTTCTCCCTCCTGCACTGTGGGTGTTCCCATAGGTAGGGCAAATCCAAGGGAGTGGCTGAGCTGTGCCTCAGTGCCTGAGAGTCAGTAAGCCATTGGCTCCAGGACTCAGAGGACTTCTAGGGGCAGTGTGACCAAATGCCACATTCCAGCTCTACTCCAGCCAAAATGCCTTTCACTTTCCCACAGTGAAATGCTTGTATTCTCCTCAAAAGTCTCCTCTGTCTTCCAAACATCTCTTCTGGATGGCTAAAGAAGTGCACAGCCTTGGCCGAGGCACCATATACGTCTTGGACTCAGCTCCGCCAAAGGCAAATCCTCTCCCCTCACTCCTGACATTGTATAGATGAACCTGGACATTAGATGCAGATTTCTCAGACCATCTTCTGTTAATCACTGCCCTGTCTGTCAACTTCCCTAACCTGTAACTGCTCCTGCCCTTGAAGGAAGACTTTCTCTCCATCTTTCATGCAAGTGGGAGACCTCATTCTTCAAGTCCAAAGAGCACTCATTGTCTGATGAGATAAAACCGGGGGAAAGGGAGGAGGGGAACATGATGGGGAGACCAAAGTAGAGGGAGGAGAGAGGAAGATGATAAATACAGAGAGTGACACAGATACCCTCTACTTACTTCCCTTTTCTCTCCTGCCCCTCCCACTCTTTTTCTCCCCTAGTCTCCCATACCACCTCCCGCTGCCCTTCTCTCCCTCTGTTTTGAAATGTAGGTTTTGTTATTATTCAAGTTTGGTGAGGCCAACAGATCAGGAGATGATTGCCGTTTAAAAGACAGTTTTTTACTGTTCCCAAGAGGAATGGGTACACCACGCCATGCAGGGCCACATGAGGAAGCCCAGGGTTGGTCATGAGGCAGAAGGAGTGAGGGGAAAGCATGGATAAAAGCCTTTATTGTGGTTTTCATGGGAAGGAATGGGTGAGGCAAGGTAAGCAGGCATAGGGTTGGCTAGTTTGAATAATTTCTGTGGGCTCTGGGGTGTAGGACCTATCCCGAGTTGTCTGGTATCTAACCCTGAGTTGATTAGGGGGATATTAGTTTGCTGTGTGAGAGTTCAATAAAGATGGCGGTTGAGCAGTATGGGCTTTGGAATAGTTAGTTTGCGTATAAAAGTTGCACTCTCAGGGGAGTCGTTTGCTATCTCCACGAATTGGCTAACCCTGGGAGGGGCAGTCCCTCTGGGTTAGCAAGGCCACAAATGCCAGAGCATCAAGAATACAGAAAATAAGAAAATATATTTAATATACCTGCCAACCAGAGTCCATACCACTGGGTTTCTAAAGGACCATGGCAGCATGCTCTTCCCACCTACATTGAGGGCTTTACAGACTAGGTGAGGGTGATAGGACAAGGGGTGTGGGTGGCGGAGAGCAAGGTGGTTCACAGCCTTGCCTTCTCTTGGACTGGGGTGGAGCAGGTCGGGGCCCAGGTCGGGTAGGCTAGGTTAGGAGGAAAGTAAGATAATTGGGCTTCTGCTGCCACTGGCAAGATACCGCTGCACCCAATCTGGCAAAGTCCTAGCTGTTTCAGGCTTTGAAGAATAGATTCAAATGACTCAATCTGTCAAGGTAGGTCCTGGTCTCCATTCTTCCCCATCCCCATGCCCAAAACCAGGGTTCAGGATTCAGGACTGTCTCTGTCATTAGCTGATCATGTGACCTTGGAAATTTCACTTCCCTTCTCTAGTCCTCAGGTTTTCCAGTGTCCAGGGGGGCTCCAGGTAAGGGCTCAGTTTCTTTGCTGCTTGTCCACAGTGCAAAGCTCTCTGCCTCTCAGGAGGCTGTGTCCATCATCCCAGCCAACAGGTCTCAACTGTGTGAATGCTTGTCAGTTGAATGGGCCCTGCTGCCTCTGGAGAGGAGGAAGGGAACCATGGGACTGCTCCCTAGATACGGGGAAAGGTGATGCTGGTGTTTGTCTCCTGAGGTAGGGGTCTCCTCCTTGGAAAGCTTCTGCCTTAAGGACAGGTGGATGGAATCAAAGTAAAGTAAGTTCTCCAATTAC